GTGGCAATATTGGCCCATCGTCCAAGAAGCGTTGCAAGAGAATTTCTTCAGTAAAAAAAATCCTGCAAGGCTGCTACAATCGTTGGTAAGACAAGAACTCATCATTTCAAGACGATTTACACGTAACCATTTGTAAGTTGGTGGCACCAGAATCAACAGACCTAGCCTTTCACTGCACAAAAACTTACCTGGTGTAGCAGCGGGTCTATGCATCCTAAATGAATTTAATTAATTATTTTAATGACTGGCTCCGCGGGAAACAGTGAGTTTGACCTCAAAGTTCAACACTGAGAGTCTTGGGGAAGCAAAACTCACTGTTTCCCCTGGGGCCAGTCATTAAGTGCTTATAATGAGTAAAACAATGGCTGTGCACGTGCGTTATAAATCTATGTACAATTCTTTGTCGTTCTCTGCAAAACAGAAACGTGAAATGACTAAGTTTTGCATTTTCTGAAGAACGCGAACGACGACGGCTAATTTTCTTGTTTTTCCATTTAATTAAAATTAAACGCTATCATTGAACATTTAACCTGAGCAAGTTTTTAGACATACTGGCGTACTGAACAGATCTAGACAGTTCCGAATTTCGCTGGTAAAATATAAATTCATTTTTACTAGGTGTTTTCCTCGGCGCCACCACTGTCGAGTTTAAGAAAGGGAGTTTAAGAAGCTACGACGGCAACACCGCGGACAACGTCGATTAAATAATGACTTTATATTTTACCTAAAAATCTCGCGATACTCCAAAATCAATTAGTTTGTTTCTCTTTGTCAATATACAAATTTTAAAAATTATCCGTTGTGGTCAGTTCTCGTTCTCCAGAAAACGCAGAGTTTGGTCATTTCACGTTGTTTTCTTGCAGAGGACGGCAAAGAAATGTATTAAGAATTATAACGCACGTGCTCAGCCATCGTTCTGAAAATGCATCAAATGTTTTCCGTCCACACAAAACCGAAGAAATTTGAAAACGCAACAATCACCAGTAATTTTTGATTTGTGTTTGAGTAAAACTCGGGCAGGGAACCTAACGAAATAAAACAGACTAGATCGTCGACGAAACAAGACTTTTCTAGCTGGAGAAGTATTGTCAAAACAAAACACGAGGCCCTACTAGCCTCGCTTTTATGCACTCGTCCCGGGCGCCGAACGAGTGGTCCGCCATATCTGCATTCGGTGTACAGTTCTAGAGAAGCTTCGTTTTCAAAATGTTTTCTGTCTACACTAAAGCACAAAGCCGGCGTTTTCAAATTCCTCCGGTTTGAAGAACGTTTTCCAAAAGCTCCGTTTTCGTGACGGATTAGTGAGGACGGTAGACCTTAACGGAGAAATGAAGCTCCGTTTTTAAATTCCTCCCAAGTAATGTGGACGGGGCCTAAATCTTTTGTTTAGCGACGTTCCCGTTGCCGTTGCGCTTTGTGGTTTTCTTAAACTCCCTGTTATCGAGTGTTGAACGTAACACTCAGGTTATTTTCGTTTATGCGTTCAATAAGTTTCTTTGCTACCTGCACCGCCTTTACCTCGGCAACACAACGCGCAACATAGCTTGCGAGCAAGTCTTTTTACAGCAAGAGAACCAAGAAAGCTTACTGACAGGCTCCATACAATGGTGTGACGCAACTATGAATCGATAACCCAAGCGAGAAAAAAATTCTCGCAAAAAATTACTCGAAATATAAAAAAGTTACCAAAGACTTACCGCTCAGATTGTGGGCAATTGAAACTCAGAGTTGCGCGCACATTGCCTGGTTCCCATGCCGCGATCAGATTCTTCTTGCTCCTGATCTTGCTCAAATCTTATTTCGCGCACTCTTTTCCTCACGAGAAAAGGTTTTTAATCTACGTTCAATAATCAATGCTTACATTATTGATATTCATTTTCGTGGAAAGGAAGTCAGACGTATTTGCGGTTTATAATTATGAAACAGTAAAATACAAATTTGATTAACAAAAGCTTTGTCTTTAAGGGAGAAGGTCACTCCAAAACCATGTATTTTTTTCCATCACCAATAAAAAGTTCACATTGAGTTGAGTTACTCACCGTTATTTTAGCTTCTGANTTGTCTTTAAGGGAGAAGGTCACTCCAAAACCATGTATTTTTTTCCATCACCAATAAAAAGTTCACATTGAGTTGAGTTACTCACCGTTATTTTAGCTTCTGAAATCGATGCGATCCCATTGAAAAAGAAGTGAAAAGTTCGACACCGGGAGCCGCCATTTTGAAAGGATCTTGCAGGCCAGGCCGCATATCCATGACGTCATTCCGTCCGAGAATGAGTTCTTTTGGGCTTTAATATGGCTGCTCTTGAAGCCAGAACTTGCTAGTGATTCTGGGGATGACAATAACCAAGGTGAATGGAACGATCGGTCGGAAAATGCTCTGTGGTGAACTTGTTAGAGATGTGCAACCATGCCGATGCAAACAGATTGTGTTTGTTGCCGAGTAGGTCACCAAGATGGAAGGTACATTTTGCAGTACAATTACAATGGACGCAGTGAGCGGAAGAGGAAGTTTATTTTTAATTGTAAATCGCTCTCAGAATTGAACTGGTGGCTTAAATAAATCCCCAGTTTAGTGCTTTTTATCTGATTTGTCTCCATTTTTATTTTACTGGTGGTTCAATGCGGAGGGAGTTCTAGCTGGCATCACAGAAACTGACAAGTTTTCAAAGGTGTGTTTAAATCGGCGAATGCTTTCCACTTCACAAGTCTGTGTTTTACTTATAAAATTTGGATACATTTTGCTCGTGCTCGTACGTGTTTGCCTAGGTTTCTTTACACGTATGTACTACGTGGACTCTTGTGAAATACGCAGTGACTTTACATGTAAGATGCGAAGTGAAATCGACGTCTTTAAC